AGGCAGGGGTGTGAAAAAGTGTTTGCCCCCTTCTGCTGATTTCTGTTTTTTGTTTGTCACACTTAAATGTTTCAGATGATCAAACAAATTTAAATATCAGGCAAAGATAACGTAAGTAAACACAAAATGCATTTTCTAGATGGTGTTTATTATTAAGGGGCAAAAAATCCAAACCGACATGGTCCTGTGTGAAAAAGTGTTTGCTCCCTAAACCTAACAACTGGTTGTCCTATACCCTTAGCAGCAACAACTACAATCAAGCATTTATGATAACTGGCAGCAAGTCTTTTAAAGAACTGTGGAGGAATTTTGGTCCATTCACCTTTGCCAAATTGTTGTAAATCAGCCGCATTTGAGAGTTTTCCAGCATGAACTGCCCTTTTAAAGTAATTTCAAAGCATCTCAGTCGAGTTCAGGTCAGGACTTTGACTAGGCCTGGACTGGACCTACTGGTGTGTTTTAGATCACTGTCCTGTCGCAGAACCCAAGTGCACTTCAGCTTGAGGTCACAAACATGGCCAGACATTCTCCTTTCGGATGTTTACAATTCCGGTATTCATTCTATTTATCACATTAAGTTTTCCAGGTCCTGTACCACCCCCAACCTCTTCTCTGTCACTCCTGACTTGCTTCCTCAGATCCACAAAGACAAAGAGAACCTGCTTCTGGCCTTCTCTAAACTTCTCCATCAACACTCAAAGCAAACATCTCAGCATGAATCTACACTGCTGCTCACTGATTATAATCTCTTTTCTTAGCCTAGATTCAACCACTCTTTTTCATATTTTTAGCTTTCAGCTTTATCATCAGCTTTATCCTTCATCCTTGTTCTTTAAAACTTACACTAGCTCACTTATTCCTCATTCCTGTAATGCCCACAGTGTGTATTAAACAATCAGTTTTAAAATACCACTGGTCTCTCTGTTAGACACCTCCATACCTCCACAGGTATCTGGACTAACTTGCTTTACTTCAATATAATCCAGTTTTATTTATATAGCACAAAATCACAGTCTCCTCAAGGTGCTCCATACTGTAAGATAAAGACCACTCAATAACAGAAAGAAACTACAATGATTACACAAACCCCCAGTCCCCCAACAACAAGCACTTGGTGACAGTAGGAAGGAAAACCCTTTTAACAAGAATATATTTCTGGCAGAACCAGGCTCAGGGAGGGGCAGCCATGTGCTGCAACTGGCTCGGAGGAAAGGGAGAGAGATCAAGAGAAGCACATAGGAAAGAGTCACAGAATAATAATGGGCCTTTCCACTCTCCATCCTCTTCATCACTGCCCTCAGTTGCTCCTTACTAATCAGCTGTACTTCCTGATTCAACTGCCCTCCATCCCCTCTCTCACATTAAAAACGAAGCTGGACATTTTAATCTGGGTCCATATTTCTGTCTGCATGCAGGAGTGCACAATTACCCACCTGCAGATCATAGTACACACAGTGAGGTTCTCATTTTCCTGAATGGTGGGAAATTACACGTTTTACATTCTGATGCCAACAGATCCATCCACTCAGGGACTATGAAGCTATTAAAATCTCCAGAGGAGAGAGAAATTCAAATTTCTTTAAAACATAAACTGAGTGTCTGAAAGGTGAGACTAATCAATTTAAAATTAAACATGAGATTACGACTAGTCTGAGAATTCATAACTGAATTTTTTCTCAAAGTCAGACAGAGGAATGATACTACAACCCAGGCTATGAAGTCATTAAACAAAAGAAAAAAGATTTCACCTCCACTCTCACTTTCACTTTAAACGACAGACTTCCTGTCAGGAAATTAGATTTCACAACAAGCTGGCCGTCATCCAGAAGGCCAGACTTCCAAGAACTGATAGCCTTTGGAATAATGACCGTATGTCAAGAGCTGTACTGATCTATGTACTCACAGCATATTATCTTCATGATGCAGCATCTCTGCTATCAAGGAAACTGCAGGCATTCATGAGAACTGATGACAGTAACAGGAAGAAGTAAGATGCGTTTATCACTAATCATTTTCACTTTTCATGTGAACAACATGAAGGAAAATGCGTGTCAAACTACTTATTATTAATTCTTTATTTATCCAGGTAAAAAATCTCATTGAGATTAAAAATCTCATTTCCAAGAGAGACCTGGCATTCTGCCATGCTGTCATCTACTGTTCAGAAACCCTGATTAAAATCAGAGTTAAACCAGTGACTTAGAAGCTTATCACACAACAATCATCCAGAAGGCCAGACTTCCAAGAATCAGATTCAGTTTCATGAAGGCAGAAGAGCAGAGAAAGAAACAAGTGAGAGTAAGAAAACAAGCTTCATAAAGAATGAAACCCTGGCTTTGCACTGTTGTGCATTCATACTCATATATTCGTATTTGGTTTGAAAAGACGAGCTCTATAATGAACTCTCTATAGGCTCCTCTGGGTATTGTCATTCATTCATTTATCTATCTTTATTATTTATATGAGTACATGTGTAATATAGCAGTAGAGCTGATAGGCTGGAAGGGGAGGAGAGAAAAAACAGACAGAAAGAAAAAAGAAAAATTGGAGAAATGAGAGAATTCAATTCAATTGAATTCAATTTTATTTATATAGCGCCAAATCACAACAAAAGTCGCCTCAAGGTGCTTCATGATACAGAGAAAAACCCAACAATCATATGACCCCCTAGGAGCAACTTTGGCGACAGTGGGAAGGAAAAACTCCCTTTTAACAGGAAGAAACCTCCGGCAGAACCAGGCTCAGGGAGGGGCGGCCATCTGCTGCGACCGGTTGGGGTGAGAGAAGGAAGACAGGATAAAGACATGCTGTGGAAGAGAGACAGAGATTAATAACAGATATGATTCAATGCAGAGAGGTCTGTTAATACATAGTGAGTGAGAAAGGTGACTGGAAAGGAAAAACTCAATGCATCATGGGAATTCGCGGGCAGCCTACGTCTATTGCAGCATAACTAAGGGAGGATTCAGGGTCACCTGGTCCAGCCCTAACTATATGCTTTAGCAAAAAGGAAAGTTTGAAGCCTAATCTTGAAAGTAGAGATAGTGTCTGTCTCCTGAATCCAAACTGGAAGCTGGTTCCACAGAAGAGGGGCCTGAAAACTGAAGGCTCTCCCTCCCATTCTACTTTTAAATACTCTAGGAACAACAAGTAGGCCTGCAGAGCGAGAGCGAAGTGCTCTAATAGGGTGATATGGTACTACAAGGTCATTAAGATCAGATGGGGCCTGATTATTTAAGACCTTGTATGTGAGGAGCAGGATTGAACAGGTGCTAACTTCTATGTAGGATGTATCAGAGGAATCACAGAGAGGGAGAGATGTTATTAGCGAGAGCTGATAATAAAAGGTTGTGCTTCAAGAGTCTTACTTGAGTGTCCTTACTTGGAGTTACATTAAGGTGAGGAGAGACAGGAGACACAGGGAATCAGGCTGGAATCTGGAGATGATGCAAGGTTGAGTGGAGAATGGGCAGCTGAAGGTGTGCTTCAGGTTTGGGTTTCCACAGAAGAGTGGAGAGGGTTTCCAGGAAAGCGATATGTTTATGTGAGCAGGGAACGAGGAAGCAAACAGAAGACATGAATTACAGAGCTAGAGATTAACAACCATGGCGGAGAAAACGATCTGGCTGGCATTGACTTACACAGGCGGTCCTTAAGCACTCAGCTATTGATGAGCTATGAGCTCCAGCTTGATGAAAGCAAGCTAAGGAAGGGTAGTTCAACCCTTAGGTGGAGACATGAGGAATCTGCCCACCTCTCCACCTGACAGAAGAGAGAAAATCTGAACACAAACAAGTTTTAAGTATTATTTTGGTCTGTTGGCTCCAGTTGGCAGTTACCTGTGCACTTTATGAACGCAACCTGCTGATCTAGTGTTAGTGTAACATGATTTAACTACAGTGTACTGTTTAGTCTGCCTGAAAATGAAGAATTACTGTGTAATTTCAAAAATGATGTGAACATGTAGCGGTTCCTAACCTGTCATAGTCCAGTGTTTTTTAGTTTAGGACTTTTTAAATGTTTACTAAATATTCTCTGTTGACTCTTAGTTGCAGGTGCAGGTTAAGTTTCGTCATTTATAGTAACCTGTCATTTTGAAGGTCAGTTAGTTTTCCATGTATTTTCTGTTCTGGATCAGTTTGCACGTATTAATTTCCTTCTTTCAGTTCTCCCCCGCTCTCATGTTTCCTATTTCCTTTTTTCCTTTTATTTTATCACTTCCTGTTTTATTCTGACAGTCTCCTGTTATTACATTTAGTTTTACGTCCTCTGCCTCAGTTGTGTCACATGTGATGC